GCCCCGCCCTACCCCCGGGGGTCATGACTTGAACAAACTTGGATCTACACTACCTGAGGATGATTCCACATGAGTTTCATCTTTCCTGGCCCAGTGGTTCTTGAGAAGAAGATTTTTAAAATATGCCACCAAATTTTCATTTATTCCCAATTATCTCCCCTTGAATGAGGGCGTGGCCCTTCATTTGAACAAACTTGAATCCCCTTTACCCAAGGATACTTTGTTTGGTTTGGTTGAAATTGGCCCAGCGGTTCTTGAGAAGAAGTCGAAAATGTGAAAAGTTTACAGACAGACGGACAGCTAGACGGACGCCGGACAAAATGTGATCAGAAAAGCTCACTTGAGCCTTCGGCTCAGGTGAACTAAAAATATGCCACCAAATTTTCATTAATTCCCAATTATCTCCCCTTGAATGAGGACATGGCCCTTCATTTGAACAAACTTGAATCCCCTTCACCCAAGGATACTTTGTGACAAGTTTAGTTGAAACTGGCCCAGCGGTTCTTGAGAAGAAGTCGAAAATGTGAAAAGTTTACAGACAGACGGACAGATGGACAGACAGACGGACGCCGGACAAAATGTGATCAGAAAAGCTCACTTGAGCTTTCAGCTCAGGTGAGCTAAAAAACTGGAGATAAATCTTACTCAGTGCATACTAGTTCGGAATCAAATGTCAACATGGTGAATATGAAGCAAGAAACAGGCGTGTTGAAATAACGAGTTGATCGTATATGGATTATTTTTGTAGGTTAAAGGTATGCACAACCTCAAGAAGGTTTGTGTTATTTACTGTAAATCACTTTTATTCGCGAGAACTTTATTTTCGCGTAATTACGCAAGGCAGTGTGGTCGCGAAAATTTAATTCTCGTGTATAATAGTATTCCTGAAGAATATATAGAGCAATAACCACAATTCGCGAAAATTTTGTCTCGCTAATCAATAGTCAATGACTATCTCGCGAAAATATGGTGTCGCGAAAATTAAGTGATCTACAGTAATTTGGTAGTTATTTTGAATGCAAATCCTTTTATATTCTTCAAAATTGTTTTGCAGAGATTCTCATTCTGCAATTTTTGCTACTTAATTACGACAAATATATACATGTCCCTGATTACGAGTGTATGACAGACATTCTAACTGTGGCGAGGGCTTATAATGTCTTGATACACAGATACATGTAGATTATTCTAGCTAAAACCCCAGTCACATTTCCAAAAACGACTCACGGCCGACGGGTTTTGAAGCAAAAATGGGATTCTTCGGGTGACAGTCGTCAGTTCATCGGCCGTTGTCTTGGCCGATTTTGTCCTCTTTTTTTGTCGGCTGACCAATTTTGTGTCCATCGGTCCAAGTTATAATTTTTTATGCGTCGGTGGCCGATTCCTTCAATTGAAGTTATCCGTCGACCAACCTTTGATCATCGGCCGACCATCGGCAGTCAGTTTATAAAGTCGGTTGTCCATCATTGGACAAAAAGGGTGTTTAAAATTTTGGCCAATGCTTAAAATCAAACTGTAGCTCAGAGGTCGATGGTCGGGCGACGATTGGCAGACTTGTGAATATTTAACCTAGTAAGGATGCATAACACAATCAAAATTTTGATGCATGGATCGATATAAATTTTTTGAACGAAAATAACATAAATAATTGATCCGTAAGATATAAAGAAATCTTAAGCATTCTTTGCTGCTTAGATATGCACCATTTGTCATTTTTATGCAATTCCATACAAAATTTTGCACATATTTTCAACATTCAGTCACAATTTTATAAGATTCGGGCACTATGCCTTGCAAACATTACTCATGTCACCTATCTAAATATAGATCTATGAAAAAAAATTGCTGAATTCTAAAGAAAAAAGAGTTTTTGTGTTATTTGTCCAAGTCAACGGTGTCCCTAGGAATTAATGTGACTGCTCCGTGTCGCCCGATACTGTATCGGCCGATTATGTTCTTTCAGCCAACAAGACCAGAAAAATTTAGTCGCCCGACCATCGGCTTAAATGTGACCTAGGCATAAGTGACAAAGCATTGATCAAGTTTTTTTTTTTTTTTAATATAATTGTTTTTTAACCATGTAAAATGCGTTCTTTTGACCATAGCATGCACACTTGTCTTATGACATTCATAGACATCGATCTCTCTTTGTAAGACAGATCGACTTAATTCTAATTAGACTTTTCATGCATAAACAAGTAATTATCGAAATATCTACATTTTGGGGGCACTTTTTCATATACAGGATATTATAAAATGACATTCTATAGAGGAACATGTATTGCTTCTGGAATACTCTCAGATTTAATGTTTGTTGAAAATGATATCAGAAAATGTTGTCAATGTGGATTGAAGAAAAATTTCTTGAAAATAGCTTATTTACTGAAATTTGTTCTGCTTTGTGTTCTGAATTCCCCTTTTTAAACCATTGAATGTCGATCAGAAACAAAGAACTGTGAATACATTTTCCTTAAATCTATAATTGACTCCAAACTCAATCTAGAAATTAACTTCATCTTTCAGTTTAAACAAGAAGTCTGTGAGCCAATGCTCACTAATAATACGATCTGATGTGAACATACACATCAATGACATCATGTAAATTTTGATACACAAATTCAGTGACTATGGTGATGGGCAGATGCACAGATAAATAGGAAATTGACATCAGATTCATATAAAATAAATCTCACTTTATAACAAGCCTGACCAAAGTATGTGCTAAAATTTCAAGCATCGATCTGTAATGTGTAGTTGCTGAGAAAACTGCGACAAAAATTATTGTTATACAGATGGATTGCACTGAAAAACAGGAAGTTGACATCAGAAGTGAACAACAAGAGGCTCAGGGGCCACATCGCTCACCCGAGCACTGCCTGGGGAAAAAACAAAATACTTTGATCAACCATTGTGGCTTCTAATGACCCTACCCCTGGGGGTCATGATTTGAACAATCTTGAATACACACAATCTGAGGATGCTTCTATATAAAAAAAGACCAATGATAGCTTAATTACTGTTCTTGAGAAGAACATTTTTCCTATATATTCCTCTGTAACTTTGATCGACCATTGTGGCCCATGATTTGAACAAACTTGAATCTAGACCACCTGAGGATGCTTCCATAAAAATAAGACCAATCTTTGCTGTTCTTGAGAAGATTTTTAAAGATTTTCCCTATACATTCTCAAGTAAACTTTGATTGACCATTGTGGCCACACCCTACCCCCAAGGGTAATGATCTGAACTTGAATCTAAACCACCTGAAGATGCCTCTATATAAATATCACTATATTACTATGGCTTTTGTGCATGCTCTTGAGAATAAGATTTTGAAGATTTTTCCTATATATTCTTATGTAACTTTGATCAACCATTGTGGCCCCCACCCTACCCCCGGGGGTTATGATTTGAACAAACTTGAATCTAGACCACCTTAGGATGCATCCATAAAAATAAGACCAATTTTTGCTGTTCTTGAGAAGATTTTTAATTATTTTTCCCTATACATTCTTATGTAAACTTTGATCAACCATTGTGGCCATGCCCTACCCCCAAGAGTCATGATCTGAACTTGAACATGATCAAATTTGAATCTAAACCACCTGAAGATGCTTCTACATAAATATCACTTTATTACTATGGCTTTTGTGCTCTTGAGAATAAGATTTTGAAGATTTTTCCTATATATTCTTATGTAAAACTTTGATCGACCATTGTGGCCCCACCCCATCCCTGGTGGTCATGATTTAATTGAACAAATTTGAATCTACACCACCTGAGGATGCCTCCATATAAATATGACCTAGCAATCATGGCTTTGCTGTTCTTAAGAATAAGATTTTTAAATATTTTCCTTATACATTCCTATGTAAAACTTTGATTGTCCATTGTTGCCTGACCCTACCCCCAGGGGTCATAATTTGCACAAACTTAAATCTACACAAAAATGAGGATGCTTCCACATTAGTTTCATCTTTCCTGGCCCAGTAGTTCTTGAGAAGATTTTTAAAACTAGAGGTACTGTGAGCAATGAGCTCACTAAATGATACCCCCCGCCTCCCATATGAATAAAATGGCAGTGTCCATGTTTTGCTCTGGAAAATCCAAAATATATGTCAGATCAAAAAGTAAAATAGGAGGTGCACAATGGCAATATGTAATAAAGATTCTGTGAAAGTTTCATCAAATTTCATTCAGTGGTATGAGAGGAGTTGCGGATAAGAGATGGGTACCCCAAAGCGTAACAGACGGACGGACGGACAGACGTACAGACGGACGGAATTAACGATTACTATATACCCTCCCGCTTTTCAAGCGGAGGGTATAAAAATGACATTTATTTTTCAATAATTTATAATTATCTCCCCTTGAAAGAGGGTAAGGCCCATTATTTGAAAAAATTTGAATACCCTTCACCCAAGGATACTTTGTGGCAAGTTTGGTTAAAATTGGCCCAGTAGTTCTTGAGAGGAACAACAATGCCAACAGACAACGGAAAAATTATCAGAAAAGCTCACTTGAGCCTTTGGCTTAGGTGTCAGCTACAAATGTATCCCACAATATGGCATGCCTTAACAAACAGTGTACTAAATTTTCAAGCATCTCTGATGAGTAGTTGCTGAGAAAACTGCAACAAAATTTGTTATGTATGAAACGGAGAGATGCATGGATGGACAAGATTTTGACATCAGATTTGAACAAAAATGAATCCCACTATATGGCATGCCTCAGAGAAGATTGTGTTAAAATATCAAGCATCTGCGATGAGTAGTTGCTGAGAAAAATGCAATAAAAATTTGTTATGGACAGACAGATAGACAGACGGAAAGACACACAAGGGTAAAATAGTATACCACTCTCTCCTTTGGAGCGAGGATATAAAAATAAAATTGAAAACTGACGAGAAATAAACTTCAATGGGAAAATATTACAGTGAATGCATTTCATGTAATCAGATAAAGTTAAGGTCATAAATCATCTAGTAAATTAAGACCTACCTATAAGACATTTATGACATACTGTGCTATTTTGTTCTCTGGTTTCAGAACCTCTTGGACATGGTCCACATTCTTTACAACCAATATCACTGAAAAATGAGGACAACCATATAATAATTTCTACAACATTAAAGTCTATCTGCAAAACATTAATAAATTGTTTTTATTCCAGTCATTCTGTTTATTTGTTTGTTACACTTTAGCCAAAATATGAGAGCAATGACTTAACAGCCTTAATTTTGGATCTTTTTTGTGATTCCTTTACCAAACTGAAAATGAAGTGAATCCAAAATATTTATTCAGACAACTTAATACATATACTGTATACAGAGAAACTCTCACCCCTTTGGCCCATGTAACTAGAGGGTGAATTTTAAAAAGGCGAATTCAAAGAACACAGTATAAATTCTTAAACAGATCTGTGATTGGGAGAATTGCAATTAAAATGGGGCAAAATTGTTAGCAAGTGTAAAAGGGCGAAAATAACCCTGTATACAGTAGTTTCATACCATTTTAAAGAGTTTGGTTGCTGAAATGAGGTTATGTGAATCTTTAATTCACATTTCTGGATTCAAGAATTTAACACTATGATAGAATAAGTTTAAAGTGGGAAAATCTCTTGGAAGTGCAAGCAATTGTACATGTATTTTGTTGTCCACAACTTTTCATTTTTCTGATGATGTTGATACAACTTGTTTATCTCATATGTGTGGATGATACTACATGTTGGATAAACCTATGTTTTATCCATGGGTAGATGCTTTCAATTATCAATAGCATTTCCGCTTTTGACACAATCCCTCACTTCAAGAGTTTATTCTATTGAAACTTTTATTTGTAAAATTCTTGCCCTTATAAAATGCATGATAAAGAGCAGTAATGTTAAAAGCAAGAAAAAAGACTTGTATATGTCAAAGATTTTATCAAAGTACCAACCTGTATTGGCTACTTGAAGATGGATGTTAACCACCCTCCCCCCCCCCCCCTTCCTTTAAACATGTTAAATCATTTTCGGAGAAAGTAAAGCCTAGCAGTAAAGTTGGTGTTATAAGATTCCTGTAACGTCTTCAACAATGCTTTCTTATATTATACTATGTATGCCTAGTTAGTAATGTAGATATAGCTAATACCATGAATCAACAAGGAATCTACAAGTAGCCTTGCCTAGAACGTTTTGTACAGGTCCAGTCCAAAGACTATTTCTACCTACGTAGCTACAGTCCCTGAAATGTTCTACTTTCCCCACCTGAACCGTGAACAAATGAATTTTTGAATAACCCTTATTATAATCTATTTAATTGTATTGGTTTATCTTTACCAATGTAATACATATTTAAAGCAATATGAGCTGCAACTTTGATGTCTGAATGTTTTGTTGCAAAATTGTAAATAACTATTTCCAACAAACTAGAAATATGACCATACGACATGAATGCCCCGCCCAGGGTATATTAGTAATGCAACATGAAAATTTGTATTAACTGCATTTGCAGAGCCAGTTTAAGGTCCTTGAACATTCAAAAAGAAATGAGTCAGTATGTTTTTATTTTTTGTTCTATCCAGATGGATCCATGATGAATCAGTAAATATTCCTCTAAGAATAGAGAAATTATGAGAATTGACAAGATTGGATGGGATGAAGAACCTGCAGTCTGAAATATATAGGTCTTGCTCCAGATTCAAACATGCAGGCATTTATGTGCAGGAATTAAACTGAGAAAAGGATTAATAGAACTGCTAACTATAAGAGCATGGACTGAAAGTAAGTAAATTAAATCACAATGAATAATTGGGTCCATATTTTAAAGTTTATGTCATATATAATTAAATACACTTTAAATTATATATTTTATATGCAGAGAAACATGTAGTTTTTATAAACGAAGTCAGATGTTGCTTTTGAGTCCTTGTTTGTCAATCAATCCTATGAATATACATATATGATTTTAACACACACAAAACAAGATACAAATGTGGGATCACTAGGTCAAAATTAGGTTAAATTCATTTCTTAAATGACTTGGTTTCCATGACTGCACAATGAGAGTAATTTCTCTCTATCTTTTTAACAGATACTTGCATAATGTTGGAAAGGAAGCCCCTCCTAATCATGAGAAGTTAGAGAAATGTCAGTGTGAACTTGAAGTACCAAGAAAGTAGTTAATAAATAATCCTGGCAAATGCATTGTCCGTTAGTTAGAGCATCTACTCTAGAGTTGCAAAGGAAGGAGTTGATCCTTATGTCGCAGGTTCGAATCCCACTAAGAAATATGGAGACCGGTCCTAATCCGATGAGACCGTATAAACCGAGGTCCCGTGTTGCAGTTGCGAAAAAGATCCGTTCCTACTCAATGGACCTGAGTGCCAAGTTTAGGACAAATTAGCAGCTCTCCATTGGCAAGTGGTGGTGTCTCCATATTTTCCAGGATGACCAATTTAAATTTGTGCCATGGTATTACTCAAAGGTTGTGAATGTAAATAACATCTGTTGAACTTTTAGTGCTCTCTCTGATGTAACAGTGTAACTGTTCAAGTCCATTTTTTCTCTTTTATAAGTTTTTTTTTTAAACATTGATTTTATAGTTAGTGTTATATACATGTGCCTTTACCATGCTAATTTCTTAAATAATTTTTAAAATGGCTTGAATGTTCTTTTTTTTAATTACATGTAACTGTAATGTTTAATTATGTTCTTTTAAAATTAATTTAAGTAAGGTATGTTAGCTTACGGAATTGTGTGTGCCAGAAATGTGCCGCAAGTGTGTGCCACAAACTTGCAGTTAACTATTTGCCAGAAATGTGCCACAAGTGTGTGCCACAAACTTGCAGTTAACTATTTGCCAGAAATGTGCCACAAGTGTGTGCCACAAACTTGCAGCTAAGTGCATAATGTAAGGCCTTGAAATGTTTGCCGTAAATGTGCCACAACTTTGCCGCAAATATGCTGCAAACTGTGTGCCAGAAAAAAATTTGCATACGAAAAATCTATTTGCGGCAAATTTGATTACCTGTTAAAATTAACAACATTAAGACAGCAAAAAAAAACAAGAGGCCCACGGGCCTTATAGGTCACCTGAGTATCATGTAACAACTTTCCAGGGATTGTATTTGGTTCGATTTTTAATCCAAAAGCCATGAAATTCACAAATTCTCTCACTATTGCTTATCAAAGAGCAGATTTCAAAGCATAATTTATTTTTTTCTCTTAATGCTGCAGCCCTGAAATTATTTTTTTTTAAACATTGATTTTATAGTTAGTGTTATATACATGTGCCTTTACCATGCTAATTTCTTAAATAATTTTTAAAATGGCTTGAATGTTCTTTTTTTTAATTATATTGGCCGTAATATTTAATTAGTCACACGGTTTTACAAAACCCGTGTCAGAAAGCCATGCTAGTTTCCATATATGGACTCACGGATTCTGTAAACCCGTGTCTGAAACCCGTGTCCTTTTCCATATATGGAGACACGGTTTTTTGGAAACCCGTGTGTGTGCCGTATACCATATAAGGAGTCACGGGATGTGTGCATTTGTTTAGATTTAGGTCATGGTTAAGAATTTGCCTGATGTAACTGTGATGCCAAAGTGTGTGCCAAACAAACTTCACATTGCTTTACATTAATAGTTTTGAACTTCAAACATTAAAAATCTTATATGAATGTGTGTGCCAGGATTAACTATGCAGCTAAGTTTTTAATTAAGATTTTATGATAATGTACAATATTCAATTGTAATTTGTAGCTAAGTTTGCACAATCTGAGAAAGAATTTAGTTTAAATAAAACTTTCACTAGCACAGTGTGTGTCACATAAAATATATACTTAAAGGATTAATGAAAAATCTAAAGTCATTCAAATAAATCTAAATTTCCTGTGTAAAATTAACAACATTAATACAGGAAGAATGAAAATTCAAAAATTGACTTATTTATTCTAGATAACACTTACTGCATTTATCAAAAGTAAGAACTTTCCACTGACATAAATACAATTCCAACTGACATCTATTACTTAAATATCCTTTAATAGAGCAAAAGCACATGAAATTCACAAATTCAAATAAAGGAAGTTATGATTGAGCATGCTTATAAAAAGCAGATATAAATAATTTAGTTTGAAGCAAAACCCGCCTGAGTTAAAAACCGTCTCCCTGGGACACCCAGCCTCCACACAGGTTTCTGTGAAATTATCTATTTTGACATGCAGAACCCGTGCGTCTTTTTAAAAACCCCTTTAGCCGTGCCCAAGCCGTGCCTATCGAACTTTCTACAGCCAAAGCATTTTTTTTATTTTTAGGTTTAGTTATGAACATGAGAATGAAAAAGTCTCAAGGGAGAAGGAAATAAAAAAGATTTTTTGGATAAATCAATTATCAACATTTGAACATTCTTTTTTTATGCTATCCTAATAGGCTCCTTACCACTGGACACATAAATGCTTACAAATAGGAAAGTAGAACACTTAATTCCTTATTTCATCATCTGCCAGTTTAAGCCAGTTCTATAAATTTTGTGATGTTGATCAAAATGTATTTTAAAAAATCAATTCTTTAAAAGTCTTTCAATATATCTTCATTTTTTAAAAATGTGTTAGGTGAATGTGTAGACATTGTTCTAAAATATACTTGATGCCTAAATTATAATTCCTATCATAAAACAGACAGTGGGTATTGCGGAGTTGGGTGAACATTTTTTTTCAATAAAGTGTAAAATAATTTTTCTGGCTGATACAAATGATACTACATGCCTGTATATATTTGTATATTCTTGCTTTTTACTAGTTGAATTTTTTTTTTTATTTCTTCAGGTTATTGTTTATTTCTTCCTTAAATGGACTTAACTTCTCCCATAGTTTTATTCATTACATCTGATGCATAAGCAAACCTTTTCTGAAGAATGATGCTTAGACTGTAAGCTATAACAGAGACCTAAACAATGTCGCTGGCAATATGCAATAGCTACCACTGGCAATTTAAAACCTGTGGGAGGAAAATAGTTTACAGATACTTTTGAAACGAATACATAATTATCTCACCAGCATGTCATTGTGCAACAAAGTCGTCAGCATTTTATTTGTCCTTTGAACG